CTCCCACAGCACTCTCACACCCATCACACACAGCACTCTCTCCCACAGCACTCTCACACCCATCACACACAGCACTCACCCATCACACACAGCACACATTACACACAGCACTCTCACCCATCACACACAGCACTCTCACCCATCACACACAGCACTCTCACACACATTACACACAGCACTCTCACACACAGCACTCTCACCCATCACACACAGCACTCTCACCCATCACACACAGCACTCTCACACACATTACACACAGCACTCTCTCACACAGCACTCTCACACCCATCACACACAGCACTCTCACACCCATCACTCACACCCATCACTCTCTTACCCATCACACACAGCACTCTCACACCCAGCACTCTCACACCATCACACACAGCGCACTCTCACAGAGCACTCACACACACACAGCACTCTCACACCGATCACACACAGCACTTTCACACACACACAGCACTCTCTCACAGCACTCTCACAGAGCACTCTCTCACACCCATCTCACACAGCACTCACACACCCATCACTCACACACGGCACTCTCACACCCATCACTCACACACGGCACTCTCACACACATCACACACACACCGCACCCTCACACACACACATACACCGCACCCTCACACACACACATACACCGCACCCTCACACACACACACATACTGCAACCCTCACATACACACAGAAGCCCCCCAACACACTGCACCACACACATACACAATACTTCCAAATATATATATATATATATATATATATATACACACACATATACATATACATACACACACACACTACACTCTTAAAGGACCACTCTAGCCACCCAGACCACTTCAGCTTAATGAAGTGGTCTTGGTGCCAGGTCCTTCTAGGGTTAACCTATTGTTTTATAAACATAGCAGTTTCAGAGAAACTGCTATGTTTATCAATGGGTTAAGCCTTCCCCCAAAGCCTCTAGCAGCTGTCTCATTGACAGCCGCTAGAGGCGCTTGCGTGCTTTTCACTGTGAAAATCACAGTGAGAGCACGCAAGCGTCCATAGGAAAGCATTATATAGCCGACGGGGCGGATCGGAGGAGGAGAGCTCCCCGCCCGGCGCTGGAAAAAGGTAAGTTTTAACCCCTTTCCAGAGCCGTGCGGGAGGGGGTTCCTGAGCCACATATGCATCACATTACACCACAAACACAACACGACTAAAACCGACCTTATTACACAATACCACACCACGACCAGCTCACTCTACACACACGCAATACCACAAGTAGGCTCCAAACACATGCACAATACTCTGTCCTGGCCTTTTGTCTCCTGGTATCCATTTATAGAGACACCAGAGACAAGTTGCAAGGAAACACAGTGCAAGCATGTTATTAAATTTGCTTGCACTGTGCAGAACAAATACAGGACTTTTTTCTCATGCTAGAGCTCTTCAGCAGAGTTCTGCGCATGGTCTGCCCTGGAAGAGCATTGAACCAACATGCTCACTTTGAGAGGAGGCGTGTTTGTCATTGGTGATGACAAAACACACCTCCTCTGCCCCGCCCCCTTTTTAGTGGGCCGCTGTGTTAAAAAAATGCCCGGGCCGAATTTTTCTCCCAGTCCGGCCCTGCCCACTGGCATTGTTTAGTGTAAGATACACACCTAGGGGAAAATACAGCCTATCACCCTATGAGATTTTGTTCGGTACAGCACCTAGGTTAGGTTGTTACTTTCCCCAGCAGCTTCAGATTCAGTCAGATGCTATGGTAGACTATGTGACCGCTCTCTCTCATGCCCTGACCAAAATACATGCCCAAGTGTTTTCTTCTATTCCAGATCCTGAGTCGAATACAGGTACACACAAGCTGCTCCCTGGTGACTGGGTTATGGTCAAGAAGTTTCTCAGGAAACACACCCTAGAACCGAGATTTGATGGTCCTTATCAAGTGCTCCTGATTACAGCAACGTCAGTTAAACTAGCCGGGAAGAGTTCCTGGATACACGCTTCACATTGCAAAAAAGTGCCTGCTCCAGAAGAGGCTGTTCATGCTGAAACATGAATTTATTATGTGTCTTGTGTTTTCTTATGTTGTTGCATTTTGCTTGGGCCCAACAAGTGGCCATAACCAAAGATAATCATGTTTACACTTTCTGGTACAACTCTTCTAACACTGATGTAGCTACATACACCTTTGATTATTGTGACATAGTTACTTGTACATTTCCACAAACACAATATGCAGCCATATACAAAGACATACCTAACAAAAAGGATCCATACATTTGTGTGACCGGAGGAACTTGGGGACACCATTGTAGTTCATGGAAAGCTGCCGGGTGGAATACAGGTAGGCCATGGGGCTACAGACCTCAGGTTGCATTGGACAGACTTGACAAGGACGGGAAGCCCCTACTTTCCAGAATGACTCTGAGTAAACCCACAGGGTCAACCCCCATTAAACTTACCCTGAACATAGAACACCCTAGCCCAAGGGACGCGGGGGAATATGTGATGGGGATGTACTGGAAGGGGGGTGGCTCATATAATGCATTGGGGAAATTCTACCTACAAGACATGCTCACCTCCTCAGACTGGGTAGGGACCACCCACATGATAATTAATCCGCTAAAACCACATATTAGGACCCTGCATGACATGGTAGCTATAGCTAACCCCACCTTTGAAGACACTATGGCAGTAGAGACTGGGTTCTCAGATACTAATTTGTGGCTGGAATGGATGAGATATAATGCTAACTCACACAACAAAACTAATTGCTATGTATGTGGGGGGGCTAGGCCCCATCTGGGCACAGTTCCTCTGAGCTTACCTCCAGAGGTAGAACTATGTGTGCTGAGTCTTTATGCACAATCCATCTCTAACTCCTCAACATGTGAATCATGGAAGAAAATCTACCCGATCACTCACGGACATGTAAAACCACCTGACGGAGTCACCATCTACCCAGGTAACTACACGTGTTATACAGTACCAAAGAACACTGGTTTACATCTGGGCAAATTCCCATCAGGATACTGCTCGACTTATCATGATCCACCCGTGTCACTGTTAATGAATCACACAAAGACAATCGGTGATATCTATTGGTTGTGTGGTGATAAACAATTGAGGTCCCAATTAGCTGGACAATGGTGGGGGGAGTGTGCCCTAACCAAAGTCATAATGCCTATCCACATTATTCCAGATGGTAGTCATAACACGTTAAAACCCACACATATACACCCTAGAACTAAACGAGAGACCCCTATTCGAGGGAGCTTTGACCCCCATGTGTATATTGATGCCATAGGCGTGCCAAGGGGGGTACCTAATGAATTCAAAGCAAGAGATGAAGTGGCTGCAGGGTTTGAATCCCTAATTCCAATGATAACTGCTAACAAAAATGTCAATTGGATTAACTACATCTACTATAACCAACAGCGCTTTGTCAACTACACCGGGGATGCCCTACAGGGCCTGGCAGAGCAACTACAAGCCACTACCCAAATGACATTTCAGAACCGAATGGCTCTAGATATGATTTTAGCCGAGAAAGGAGGTGTGTGTAAAATCCTCCCTGAAACCATGACATGCTGCACATACATTCCAGACAACACTGGGCCCAATGGTAAGGTGACTATGGCCATAGAGAAACTTGATAGTCTTGCAGACGAGCTAAAGAAAAATTCAGGAGTCACTGACACTTGGGACAGATGGTTTGGATGGATGAATGGTTGGCAGAGGACCCTCTTCCAGGTGGGGACAGCTGTTCTTATAATGACCATCATTTTCTTATTTCTAATCTGTTGCGTACTCCCTTGCATACAGAAGTACTTACAAAAAGCAGTAGATAAGACTATAGTTGACGTGACCCCTACTTTCCTACATCAGGACGCCACAGACCTCGAAGATGACACACCACATACACCCCTTCAAGCACATCAGTTCAAACAGACAACTGCTTTCCTGTGGGGATAGTATAGGGAAAGCATCTGTCTTGGCAGGCGAGTCTCACGTGTGGAGATGTAGTGGATTAGCCGCTGCGGGTTACCCACGGAGTGAAGTGTTCGATGCCTGCTGAGATAGATTAGGAGCATATCATTAGGGACATATTAGGGACAGTAGCAGTTGTTATGGTAAATAGCCATTTTAGGGGGGACTGTTGTGGAAATAAGGTCCACACATATTTCCTAGTTAAAGGAAAATGTCTATTTACTAATTTCACACTATGCTATAGAGTTAAGCACACATGTTTAATCAAAATGGCTGCTAGAAGCTTCTAGCCCTTCCACCCTCTTCCCCCCTCCCTCCCTTCATAACACCAACTAACTACCTCGTGCAACAAGATGGCGCCGGGAAACCGTGGGAGACCCTCATGGCCCCGGTGACATCACCTACAGTAGGCAGAGCATTAGAGCAACCACTTAACACCTAACCAATTATTGATGTATTATTCCATGTTATCTCTGACAATGCCTATGATGTAATTTTGCTTTAAAAGGGACT